AATCTACAACTCGGACTTCGTTTCTATCAAACAAGCTGTACTTTTTGTTGAAACGGTTATTTCGAAACTTTTTATAACTCCCGAAGTAATGTGCTGTTCTCTAGAACACAAAAGTTTGTGCTCCCTATATCAACCGTTTGTCTCCATCATCAAAGTATTTCATTTCAAATCGTATCAACGAACGGTGGTATTGAAAGACAAGTGGTTCAGCACGCAGTTCCGTATATCCCCACGCTTCGTGCTCCGTCCGTATTGGCCTCGTCGGTTGGCGTGAAAAAGTCGGAAGAGACTGTTTTCAATCCCGAATTAACTGCAGCATCCACTTTTTTGCTAAAATTTTACAGTGCATTGGATTCTGAAACGTTCGTCTTTTTGATGTCACATTTCCGTTTACCAGGTGGGAGGGTGTCACAAATTGCGATATTACCGTTTTACTCATGATTGTTGTCATTGGTGCTTGCATTTCGATCTCAGATAGTGCACAAACGGATTTCGATAATTTGTAAGAGATAATTATAAATCCCGGGGTGCTTTCTGGATTTAGTGAAGAGGACCGGTTGGTTCCTAGTTACACCCAAGAAAAACATTACTTGGAGCCATTCAGGTTGATATTGGAATAACCAGTCCTCTTCGACTGCGACAAATAAGCACGATACAGAATTTCAACATAAGCTCAAAAGGTCATATGAAACGGCGTGAGAGTTCAGTTGTGCAATCCTCAGTACCGCGATCCCCGATCAAATTTTCTTAATCAGTTTCTATGAGGTAATAAACCAGAACCTTTTGGAGTGAGAAAGCAACTTAACATACATAGGTTTAATAAGAGCCGGATAAGGATTTCTATTGGTTGGCTTGTTTTTATTATTCATTCAGCGTGGAACGGTTAGAAGCATACGCTAACCCAACAATGAAATTGCTTTCCACTGAACGCACCAACTTGCCGCGGTCGGATTATCAACTTTAAAATACTTTATTCATTCTCATGAAATTTAGCTAGGAATGTATGAAATGGTTGGATATTTAAAATTCAAGGTGGCGTGTGATAATTAGTGGTTTCCTAGCCCGATTTCAAAGAGATGATTTTTCGAGCCATAAGAACGCATCAAATTCAGTCGAGTAATTCAAAGCAGACAACCAGGAACTGGAACAAAACATGGAGAAGCTTGATCTTCACTTAGACTCCCGCATTCTTCCTTCAAATATGACCTCCGTGGAATTGCTGGTGTAAATGCTAGTACTTCATTCGATATTAAGTTCTTCTGTTCACCAAACTGTCCACTGATGCTTGATGGGGGGAAACCGATGTTTTGTAGGGACAGCTCAGGTGTTTAGTGTATTGCTTACATAAAGGGTTGTCTTTCCACCCATAGGCTATTTTCAAGCATGTAGTTATCTACGGTCATTTTCGAGGTATAAAAGTGCAGAAATTAAAGGACCAAGTTCCCGAGAAACTGACTGATGGAATTAGTACAAAACGGGTAATTATTGCAGAGAAAAGGAATTGTGGTTGCTATGAGTTAGTATTAGCAAATATCGCTTCGTCAACTTAAATAAGGTTATAATGATCGCGGTTGGTATGCCGCAATACAGGTTTTCGATTAGTTTGTACTTCATCATGACACATCCGAAGGGTTCTATTTGAAACTGATGACCGTTCAAAACATTGAGGTACATTCTGGGGTTAGATACTTCTGGAGCTACCGTACCAAATTTAGAAATCACTAAACGTCATTTTCTGGAGTTCACTGTAGAACATTCAAAAGTAAATTTTGTCACTGTGATCAATAGAAACGGTCTCATCAGCGACCCTGGAAGGAAACAGGCAGTTCGTCGGAACTAATCTCTTCTTTTAGGTGCATATCATTCGGAGTTCGTTATCCATTCCTCTCTAAACCACTATGAATTCGTATTATGAATCATTTTATTGATCACCAATAAATAAAACAAAACAGCCAATTTCTAAGCAAGTAGCATTTCCTTAAAGAATCATTGGGTTAAAGCCTGCATCTTTGGCTTCAACCATGTGCTTTGTGGCTGCCTTCTTAAGTGCAGACATTAGATCTATTATGCAATTGACACTCAATGACTTCCACAAAGTAACGGTAGCTGAGTAAAATTGATTGATAACCAATGAAGCCAAATTCCGGAATTGGCTCTAACGTGCAAATGGAACCTCTGTTATGCACAACAAGAACAACAACATCAAGAACAACAACAACATGCAAGTTCAGTGTGACCTACCTACACACATTTGATAGATATCCGGATTCCATACCCCTTTATTCGTGTGCTGATCGACCTCGGTGCATTTTATCTGACTCACTGTGCTCGATGCATTCATACGACTCACGTACCCATAGGAGCAGTTTAAATCAATTGTGGCTCCGTAATCAAAGTTCAGCTCAGTAGCTCCGGGAGGTAATTGCGGTATACTGTCTACGTTTTGCAGAAATTGCGGTATGAGAGGACATTGAATTCCTATCCGGTTAGATGAATGAAGGAAAATAGAACCAGAGAGAAAAAAAACAGAGGGAATAGTGTGAGAGGTAAAGATGAAGCAAAGGAATAGGACGAATAAAACAGCTTTGTCGACTGTCTAGCGGAAGATGTATGAAGTAGTTTGTCTAAATGACTTTGCACTTGGAAATTTCCAATTTATGCCCCCTGCAATTATCCACCTCGAGCGCTATTTAATGAGACCGTACAAGCGTCACGAAACTGCTAACAATCCAACTGAATGGGACGTTGAAATATTAAAAATGTCTAACTATCTACTGAGCGTCTTCCAAAATAAAAAGAAATGTCTTCATTTTTTTACTACTCACCCGTGTGTTATGAACAGCAGACGAGGCGAACCCAATAATCTTGAAGACCGGATGTTCAGTGATGATAACCGGCATTCTAAACCCCGGGACTCGAAGTGCCGAACCACATAAGCCCCGTTAGGTCAGGTGTGATATTGAACCGGACGACAGCAGAGCTGCCTACGGCCAAAGTTAAGCGGTGGTCGCGGGGCTCGAACCTCAGACCACAGGGTCCGAAGAACACCGGTGACAGCGACTAAACCACTAAGCCACCATACTCCGTATATTAAGCCCAGTTTCTACATGTTAGAATTTACATAGAAATGGTGAACGTCATTTGTTTGCTACATACAGTAATGTTACGTATACTTAGTGGATTTATACTAAGTCATCGTTCTTCGATTTACAGAGATTCTCTACTCGCACCAACCAAGTATTTGAGTTATCATTTGGATACTTGATTGGTACGACTGGAGGTGTTNNNNTATATATATATATATATATATATATATATCACATCTGCTTAGTAGACCTTTCTTCCAAAATAAACAAACATTCAGCTTGATTCGTTACCACAGCTTCCAAACGCAATATGAAAATGCATTTATGCGATACGTTTCGTCGCCTGAAAAACGAAGAAATGTAACCAGTAAATCTTAGCTGTTTCAACCTTGGTTTATCACTTTAGAAGTAAAAATCTATCGATCTGAATGAGAACCAAGCTCGGGAGCTCATGGGCATACTGCCCATTGGGTAATACGGGCGCAGCTACGCATATTGCTACAATTTTTTTGTACACGAAATGGCGCAATCCATCTGTGCAAATTTATCACGGGCATCGCATCTCGTTCATTGGATCATTAGCCCCAAGGGTTGTGACTCAATCGAGAACTAAGCAAAAAATGATTGGTTGTTTAACTGGTTTTAGCACTGAAATGCTTTAAATTGTTAAGGGAATCGCGCACCTGTGCATCGGATCTTCGTTCTGACAACGTGACGCGATCATGTAATAGCAGTAACACAGTGGATCTGAAGTTAGATTAAGGCATCATATGTATTCTACTGATGCATCGACCTATTTAGTCTCAAGAAGAACTAGGGAACCGATGGGATTCCAAACGAACTTATTTTTTTTGGTCAATAGAAAAAATGAAGAGAGTACCAAGAATCATTAGAAGAAGAAATATATAAATAATTTGAGAATGTTAAGTTGTACCAGATCGCTGTGATACTTATTTAGTGCCATATGATTTGAAATACACAATCCACTAAAACCACCTTTAATTGTTTTCTTTAATGATACTCAGCACCTGGAATTTTCATCTCGATAGGCTTTTTTCTTACAATGAGACTTCGAATAAGAGTAAAACGTGCACTAACTGCATTACCCCAGAAAAATAGGCTGTAGTGAGATAATTAAGGTGACCGATGACACTCTAATTCACCATCAGCAAGACCGTCTTTATCGATGAGCTGAACATTTTGAGTCTCAGTTCATCGACATGTGACCTACTATTCCCTACCTCGACTGTGCAAATACTCCAAGTTGATGCTAGTCCTTCCTCTAAACTGGAGGTTTTCCGGGAAATAAGCTATCTCAAAAGGCATAAGGCCTCAGGCCCAGACGGGCTCTCCTCATCCGCTTTTAAGGATGGAGGTTTAGCTTTGGTTTCGGGGTCAACGAATCTCCTGGGCTCAGTGTGGAAGAGGGAACAAGTATGAATCGGTCATCAAACCGATTTACAAGAAAGGTGACAGATCCTCTTGTGAAAACCACAGAGGAATTAGTTTAATCAACATTGCCTCTAAATTTCTCACTGGCATTATACTCCGTCGATTGTCTGGCCTACGTGAAGAGTGGACGCGTGAGTACCGGGCTGGTTTTAGACCTGGTCGAGGTTGTATCGACCACATCTTCATTTTTCGCCAAAATCTGAAGCACCGACATTCTTTTCCTAGACCCACAACCTCTGTCTACCTTGATCTGAAAGCGGCTTTTGATTCAGTTGATCGCACCAGCCTCTGGCGCTGCCTTTCCCTGAAGGGTGTGTCCGAGAAGAAAATTTCAATATTACGATTCCTTCATACTCATAGACGAAGTCGATTTCGAGCTTAGGGCATTTGTTCACCCCAGTTCATCATGGGCTGCCTTCTCTCTCCTTTCCTATTTAACTTTTTGATAGATTTGATTATGGAAACAGCCGTATTCTCGTGCGAGGATAGTGACATCGATTTGCCCCCAGATGGTAGACTGTCTGGAGTATGGAGTATGTAGACGACAATGAGCTGTTAAGTGAAGACCCAGGTAAGTTGCAAAGTTTTTCTGGAAAGACTGAGTACCAGCAAAGCCGTGTTCGCTGGCGTTTTGCACATTCAAAGTGTAAAATGTTGCTACAAGACTGGGTTGGTTTAGTACCCAGGCTCACTCTAACAGGGGAAGTAATAGAGCAAGAGGATAAGTTTCTGTTATTTGGGCAGCTACATCTCACCAAGTGGACACATCACGAATAAAGTGTCAGCAAGCATGAAGAAGGCTCGGTTGGCATTTACCGACTTCAGACATCTGTGGCGCCGTCGCGACATCCGGCTGTCTGTGAAGGGTCGAGTATATGCCGCGGTAGTTCGGCCAGTTCTGCTATGCGGCGCAGAAAGTTAGCCATTAAGAAAACAGGATAAAGACAGACTGTCGGCGTTTGAACATGGCTATCTACGCAGCATTGCACGAGTCTGGTCTGGTAACCGGAGGAGCAATGCTGAGGTCAGGCGTAGAGTTTTAGTTAATCGCGGTTGCCCACCTGAGCAAGTTGTCGTCCTCCATAGATTCTGCTGATCAGTGCATGTGTTACGTATGCCACCAAATAGGTCGCCAAGGAGAGCGATGTTTTCCGAGGCAGGAAGTGGGTGGAAAAAAGCCAAGGGTGGTCACCCTCAGACCTGGCACGAGGGTATGAATTCCCTGACCAGGGGACTAGGTCACATAGGTCCCGTTAGGCTCCCCGGCTGGGGACCTCGGGATGATCGTAACCGATGATTAGAGACCCTGAGTGGTACGGCCGAATGTATTAAACAGTGGTGTTCGTGCATCTTTTTTCAATTTATTTGCAACATTAGTCCACTGAAACTCCCCATTCTATTCGACTATACTTTCAACTTTCTTGTCCTTCTCCTACTGCTCATCAAAATGGGCAGCCGAAAGACAGCAGTTAAAACCGGCGCATGAAAGTACATGGTTAACGGTTGTTCAAACTGAAACTGAAACCTTGTGTCACTTTGATAGCGAGCAAGTAACAACCTTTGTTAATAAATCCAATATATAAAGTACTGTTGTTCATTTCCGTCGAATCCTCTTGCACTTCTGCGTAAGATTACCACAATTCATCCTCAGTGTCCCCACCCTGTCCCAGTAATCAGTACTGGTCCGCCAGTGTGCTTGCAGACGGCGAGCATGTGAAAAAATGTGCACTTTAATGTTATATTCTTTGTAGGTACAGTATTGACAGAACGATACTTTTTCTGACAAAACCCGCTCATTTTTAACTTCAAAAATATCTTTTTTATCAAATTACTCTACTTTGTTCTATTTTCGTTCGGTTTTGATATTTACTGAAGTATGATTGAGTGAGTTTCAGCTAGGCTATTGGTTGAGGTTGTTCGACCATTAATGATAAAACAGCCGTCACCGAAGTTTGCCCAATAAATACGGTCAGAGCCTCTCAACAAATGTTGCTCTTTGAACAAATTTTGATCCATGTAATGAAAGTGCATCACTCGGAGTACACCACAAGCTCTGAGTTCGCCCTTGGTCGAGGTTAATGTGGTAACCTTTGGTGTATGAGCTATCGTCATTATCCGAGTGAATACAGACAGATTTGCCTTAGATGTAGCTTGCAGTAAACGGTATCGCCATTTATGTTTATCAGCTCGGGCTCAGCTTCCCCGTCTCAAGTTAATCGCGTGACTTTATCTACCCACCCTACTTTCGCAAACGAGGTTGGCAAGATGACAGACTGAAGTCTGGCTCATTTCAGCACAGAAAGAGAGTGAGAAGTCAGCTGGTTAATCAGGGGTTAGAAAAAGCGTGCGAGTAAGTGACCAATGAGATGCTTTGAACTAAAGCTAATCCACTCACAGCTTTGAGTTCTCAGTTCAAGCCTAACGTTGTAAAAGTCTAAGTTATAGTTTCCCACATAAGCGTAATAGCTTTCCAAATGAAAATGATAGTTTCTCAAATCGAATTTTAAATAGTATTCCATCACTCATAGACCGTTTGTTGCGGACCCGACAGAGACAAATTAAGTATTCTTTTGACTTATGTCAAATACGAAAACAGGTGTTGTGTACAGGTTGTGATGAGTTGCAAAACTGCTTTAATAAATTAGTTTTGATCCAATTTGTTTCAATTCATCCTCCATCCGCAGCTGAAGCTCTCGAATCCCCTTTGTTCGCTACACTTTTTTCACAATTAAACAGCTGTATTGAATATCTATTTATCTCTAGCATTTTTTACACCGAAGTAAGACCCTGAGTTCAGGTTCAGTGTTTACAAAAGTTCATTTTGTTCGAAAGTTCATTCGTCTGAACGATCAATTAGGCGTAAGTGATATCTGTTACTGTGTTTGCGTTCGAGGATCTTATCAACCCCATTCCTATGTCGATCAGCCTCTCCAATGCTGCCCTGGGGTTAACTGATCCCAAGCTAAAATAGCTAGGCGATCTTGTAATCCTTTTGTCGATGTTAACAAAGACACACAGTAGACGTTAGAAACACGTCGTTGGAGATGGAATTATTTATCCTATCACCGACAAAGAGAACAACAACAGAAACATGACCACATGACCACAACACTTAATCATGCAAGTTCCGGACTTAGTCCATGCAATTTATAGACATCTGGCCTTAGGTGTTTCAGTCTGTGGGAAATGAAAGAGCTACCAAGGAGTACGACCCACAGAGCAACATGAGTATGTAAACACTGATATTCAAATCGCTTTATTTAGCTAGGCTTAGAATAAAAGCACGTATTTGTCTGATTGAAAACTGCCAGAAAACAATCAGAACGTTCAGCCGAATTTTCATATCGATTATTAGGACTAGAAACTTCTCTCGTCTCTTGCTTTGTTCTAATGCTTCATCCTACGAAAGCCATAATTAACAACTCTACATACACAAAATGTTTCAGTCAAATAAAATAATTGTTTCAGACGACGTAACACAGAACGTACGAGTACATTCGGGAACAGTGTAGCCGGAATATCTGAAATGCGGTTTGTAAAGTTTTGGATCAGCACTTCCACTTGTTGAACTGGTGTCTCGTAGACCATCACAATAGTATTCGTTTGCTTTCAGTGTGGAATTCACATCGGGATCGGTATTTGGATTCCCGACTGACGTGGTAGCCATGTAACTGCCATCCTGACAGACTGCGGTGACCACTTTGCGCGGAGCCGGTTTCAATGGGCTGAAGATCATCGTGGTCTCGTTAAATCCACCCGGTGGGTTTTGACAAAAGGGAACTAAATGAAACAAACAACAAAACGCATTGAACAGGCGGGCGTTTATGCGGGAAAATTGGGCGGTCACGAAAAGTTTTCATCCTAGGGATCTATGTAAGGTGTATATGATTAAAGAAAAAGCTTAGAAACATTTTGCGCGCCACTAGATACAGTCAATCTCCTGCTATATCGCACCCCTCGGGAATTCGAAAAAGTGGGTAAATTCCAGGAACTGCAACATAGCAGGGTAAACAGTAGATGTTAATAAGTAGTATAAAAATCGGTTGATAGTTTTGTGACAGAATAAACCGGATCGATGAAAAGTAGGTTAATTCCGTTAATTATTCCCAATGTTTATAATTATAAACTATTTATTTATAACGGCATTTAGATCCATCGTCCTGAGTATCCTTTATGAAACCTTTTATGACGCCCACAGTTTGATATCGGTACATGGCATGCGGTATTCAGCACTTTTTCTGTTTTGAGTGCCTATTTATCCCGAAACTGACTACCCTTCTTCGGGGTTTTTTTCTAAAACAGTTATGAAATAATAATTCCAGTTACTCCTCCATTCCGCTGCACTTTTAGGCTAACCACAGAATCGAGTATGTAACGTATATCATAATACACAACTGTTCTAGCCATAATAATCACATCATTATTAACCCCTTCAAGGAAAACAAAGGTGAACCAGTTCGAATACAGTGAGAAGGAATTGACATCTAAAATGAGTGAAATATCTGTTACAGGGTATACTCAGAACACTGACTTCTTTCCCATATTCAAATTGATTGTTCGTTGTGCCATCCATTCATGATTTTCCAGTGAAAAATGTGTACTATTAGCGCTCATAGAGGTCTATTTGTTCGTTCATTTTTGTTGTTACCAGTGTATGTTCAAACCGATCGATGCGTTCATCATGACCGTTGTTGGTCGGACTAGGTTCAACACGCGATGCCATAACGTGATTCATAAACCATACCTTTTCAATTTAGGATGTCATGTTGCCATGTGGATAGTCCGATAGCCCGAATGCGCCATCGTTGCACATTGTCTTGCATTTTTTGTGATGACCTTGTTGACATGTACAGTCCATCCGTTTGGTGAAGGCATGCCAGCTGTATAGCCGAAGTTCACTGGGTCTGCTACAGACTCGCGATTGTACACAATGTGTGGTTTCTCGCTCGGGTTAACTGGGCAAGCGCCAGGTCTCTTGTTGCGGTGACCTATCCGACCGATCGATAAATGAACCCGATCGGTCGTGTGATTTTCGAGCCAGCATAGGAGAAGGATAAGTTCTGAATCCGATACGGCTTAAGTTGGTAGAGAATCACCACAGGAGAATCGGTTATGGAACGATGCATCATGTGGGAGATTCGGAATGAAAAAGTTCAAGCGATGATGACACTGGGCCAGCGTTTGACTCCTCCAAGATACACGTACTATTTTTTAAGCGGATACTCGCGCAAATTTTGCGGGAGTTTACTTGGAAGAAATTCACTCCTGTTCAGCCAAGCGAAGGCCACAGACGTCAGCCTACAGGAATTACGGTAATTCTCAAGCAATTAACGATTCATAAATTAAAAGTGCATCTCACAAGCTGCCCTTAGATCTAAGTTACGATAACCTTTGGCAGGTGACCTGTATAATTTCCTCGGAGCTCTAGGAAAAGTGATAGTATCGTTCATTCATCCACACCGGCGGGTCCGCGCAACGGCGGTTATCGGTCGTTCAGATCTGACATCTCACTGCACTGACCCGCTTATCAGTCAATCGCGAATATCGTTCACCCGTTTGCACGTTGGTACGACAGAGCCCATCAACGGACCGAATGACCATGGTTTTGGTGACCACCGCAGCAAAAATAATCACATTCGAGTACCCCACAGTTCAGTACCCCACAGAATTGCAAAACTAACTTTGCAGATAACGAAGATATATTTTTAGCAAGATCATAAATCGTCATATATCTCAGTTCAGCTCTCCTATGGAAATCAACCAACGCACTGTTTAAATCAAGTGTACATTCCAATAATCGACCCGAACTCTGACAAAACACATTCCAGTAAATGTTTCCGAAACAAACATTTGAAAGACCAAATCACCCCCTGATCCATTTCTTGTAACATTGAACAACAGTTCGGAGCCAGCCATACCAATTTGACGTTGGAGAATACTGCAGCTTGGCTATGACAAGGGGTGTTGTCCATAAATAATAAAATAGAGCGCCTTTGAGAAACCTTTTTGCTAACTGTGAAATAACGTAGAAGTCATCCATAGGTTTTTTCTATCCATACCTTGGAGGCATCGTGGAGTTTGAAACTTTCCAATCACCAAAGGTAATAACTTTTCTCCATTCATGCTCCCACGTGACCCTCTCTTTGGATTTCTTGGACCCAGAAACTATCTTTCCTTTCAGACCCAAAGTTTTTTCTGGGAGCTGTCTGTAATACAAATATGTTTCATTTACAATGAAAAGATCACATGCAGTATATCCATGTGTCAACTGCGGTAACCCGGCTCGAAACTCGTCCACTGCATCATGTGGTACCACTAAACTTTCCCCACAGACATACAAATTAATGCACATGAGCTGCTTGTTTCTTACTTTGTACGATTGAATACCATATCTGCCTGACCAACAGCGAAACCAACCTTTGGAAGCCTTGAAGTCATTATTATGCAATCTTCGTGCTAGGTGGATTGCCTTCTTACGTACGATGCACTCCACCATTGGGAACTCTCCGTGCTTTTCACTCATAGCAGTAAACCAAGCCAAAGTTGCCCCATTTATTGCTTGGACTTTCCGTTGGTTTTCAGGTGGCATCTTCCCTCAGATACTCCAGCGTTCAAAAAATCCCCGATATTCGTTCGATGGGATACAACACTGTAGATAGTTTTTAGTGAAATTCCAAGTGATTTGGTTACAGAGCTCTGAGTTGAACCTGGCAGTTCCAGCATTTCCAACACACTGCTTCTCTCTGATCGATAGGCGCTTGCACATTTTGACGTCTAATGACACTGTCGCCGATCAGTTACATCGGTGTGACTTCCTCGCTAGGATTATCCAATCAGTGAACAGTGCCATGAATGTGTCACACTAGGTGCAACGCCGTTGGCTGAGTGCGGCATTTCAGGGTGGATTGTCAATGATCGTCCCGAACATCGGTCAACGACGAAGTGAGTACGTATCAGGAACTGCGACATATTGAGGGGTACGACATCGCATAGTCAGAAACTACGTTATTAGACATACGATTGTTTTAGATTTTCGAAACAGTGGGAAGATATTGGAAAATGCGACTTCTCAGGGGTGCGACATAGTAGGAGATTGACTATAGTTAAAAATGAACTAGTGCTACTATCACACGTACACGTTGAACACACTATGATAGGGAACAAGCTATTCAATGACCTGATTCTATGTCATCTGTCACAGTCAACAGTCGGTGACGCATGTTATCTCAAACAATATACATCTGGCATCATGTGGGTCGTGAACGGGCAGTTTTATGTTCAAAAACTCAAAACTAAACAAATACATATCGTAACTTTTCAAATCATTTAGTGAATCAAGCATTAGTTCTAGCCGTGCATTTTGAATGTTTTTTTTTGAATGAAGCTACACTGAGTGTACTCTGAACAAAACGTACAACAGAAAATCGTTTCCGAATCCGATCATCTTAATTCGATGAAAATCCTAACGGAAGATGGAAACGTTTTTACCATTATTGCATGCAGTTGTTGTTGTTGTTTAAAGTTTCACCTAATTTAAAAATCATTTGTTTCAGCATGGTTTGTTTTACTCATGATCTGGCAATCTGTAATTCCTTCTTCCAAGGCACGTTGAAGAGCATTAATGCAGTCTTGACTCTTCACCCTCATTAAAAAGATGAAAAAATTTGTGAGAAAAATATTAGCCAATCGAAACATACGTTATCTGTTGTCGATCACCGATTACAATCTTTACCTTGATGCTCACACACGTATTTGTATTTCTCGTCACAGTCCACTTCTTGTACAGTCACATCTGCCTTCCAATTGGTCGAAGTCGGAAGTGCGGATGTTAGATAGGATAGCTGTAAACATTGCCCTGGTCCAGTTCCACCGGACCATTCCAGATAGGGAAATTGTACCGGATCAGTTCTATTTTGCCATCGGAATTCTTTCTGATTCGCTGGGAGTTGGTGTGCACATCAGGTTGATGAGGAGGAATAAGAAAAATGGAGCTATGAAAATTGCGAACATTATGAAGAATGCTCCGTATGTGAAACTCGGAACAATTTTAGTGAATTCAATGGGATCCAACAGACAACAATTTTCTGTACATTTTCTTTTTCCTTCTGTTCTTGCTAAGCTGAACACTTTACCTATTTAAATTCTCATCCACATCCATTCAATACGAATGATTGATAAAATTTGACAAAAACCTTGTCCACTACGGCAATGAGTAAACAATGGAGCTGGCCGGTCCCAGTATTGTATTGTTATGTATTGTTATCCAATACTGTTCTACACACCTCGTATAACCGAAACTGTATTTTGCTAATAAAACGAACAGCCGATAGAGAGAAATGTCATACTTCACCTGTGGCTCCAAGAAGTTGTTTGGATGCAACAACGGCCACACCCCGGTAAATCGCTCGAAAGGCGGGCCAAACCAGGTTGAGGGCAACCGGGAGCTCAGATCTCGGTGAGTCGGTGTCTGACGTACTTTTTTGGTGAACGAAGTCGCTTTCACGACTCAACAGTCAGGGCAATGACTCCATACTCATCAGGGATGCATAGACCCCTGTTCAGCTAGAAACTCTCAATGGCGTATGAGCTCCCCTCCCAGAGGGCCACCGGCAACCATGCGCTACCTTTCTGTTGCCTTGCAGTTAACACTTGGATGCGCAAAGGCTAGAGATGCCACCTAGACCCAAAGCCGGGTGACGCTCTGGACGTTTCCTATACTTAACTCCCAAGACATTTCATGGATATTCACTTGATATTCATGGAGCCGGCGTATCGTCTCCCAGGAGTCAGACGCCGTAAAGTAAAGTAAAGTAAAGTAAGTTGTCCGGTTCAGTTCCACGCTTAACTTAGTGGGGCCTTGTAGGGTTAACCTGTCCAAGTCCCGGGGTTCAGGTTGTCTGTTTCAATTGCTGAACAGCAGGTTCACACGGTTATATCCACTCCATGTGCCGTTTATCAAACAAATATGTATAATGAAAAAACTATAAAGGAGGACAAGTGCCGAAAGGGTTATTACACAAATAATTCAATTTATCCGTCTTTTTGTCAATTCATCCGAATCAAAACTACAGAAAATATTATCAAGGGGTATAAGGTATGTGACTTTTCTCGACAACTTCGAGGATCAAAATTCTCTCGGAAGATGGAGTGAATATTTTGTCTTCCAGATGTTGAAGATGTAAAGGCGCAAACCTAAAAATGGTTGAATGCCAAAATATCACCGGAGATTTGTGATTTACCATCAGCAAATATTATCACTCGGTTTAACCCGTGCTGTTTTGCCCTATAAGACTCACCATTACGATATGCACCTAGCCAAATCGGTTCCATGTTACCCAGGCTAAGCATGTTTACGATCAGAGCACGCAGCTCGGTCTCATCGTCGAATTGGACCAGTCGAACTTGTACATTTGACTTCCCCAACAGTGCCTGTATACAAGAGTACGATGCGTCAGCAAATTTGACGGGTTGATCACTTCTAATCAGCTTGTAACATTTGCCCCCCACATCCGAATACATCCACGTATCGTCGTAGCAAGGCACATCATTCGGTATAGAAAGCACGGGGACTGTGAGAATAAATAAAAGATGGAATAATACATCAATGAATAAATAATTCACACTTAACTCACAGTTAATTGTGAGTGGTGACACGGGATAATTGAAATTAATTTAGATTGACCATCTTTCAGATTTCACCTCCACGCACAATCTTCGGTTCATCCAGTCAACTAAACGTTCGGAAGCATATGGCTCGCGTTTCACTCTACTTAGAGCTTACTAGTACGCATATCCACTGAAGATTACATTGGAACAAACATGAAATGGCAATTCGATTCAGCTCTGGTATGAACTGATTGGTACTGCGGTAACACGCACGGTTTCCATGCGATGGGTCCAGGATTGTGTACATGCACTGCTGGTGAACTCAAATGAGCGAGCAAAACTTGCTTACAGTGCTGCCCGAGTGTATGGCTGACTGGAAGAGCCGAGGATTGTGCTTAATGATAAAATCTGGAAGATGGCCAGTCAAAATCTATGAACAGTTAATTCAACAAGCACCTTCCGAGCCAGAAGGTTATTCTTATGACCCAAAACAAACTAAAAATCACACTTCCATGTTGAGCCGCGTAATAATAAGCACTATTAGTATGCTAGATATGTCAGTCATTTTATACTAATTATCACAAATGAATCTGAGAAACGCAAAAGCGTGAATGTTGGTCTTGTGATAAAAAGGCTTATACAAAATTTGATTTGGTTCAATTCATATGTGTTATTTGGCGAACACAATGTGCAACTTATGGGAAATCCGAATATTTTTTATGCAAGAAAAGAAAAGCACCAGTATTATTCTGACCGTCCTTTTTTATTTTTCTACCCGTACACTCAATTTCCTACGAATTGGGATAAAATCATTGGTATTCTAACCTCGACGGCCCAATCAACCTTGTTCGGAGGTTAGCGAGATTTATCTAATGAAACTGTCTTAATTCTTTTAAAATTAGCTCCGGAGCAGTTCTATTCATTTTCTCGTCAGGGTGACATTGTTTTTTTTTTAAATTGATATCGCGGGCTTAATAAACAATAGGTGGCTATGTCATATTGGAATGCTCAGCACCCCATGGTAACAAACTGCTGCCGAACACAACTTTACTTGGCGCTCATAAGGTACCCTAGTATTTAGGCGCTTCAGTACGCACATTTTGCTTGGGTTGATTTCTCTCAGTTCGGTGTCCAGTTCAGTTCAACAATTGGCAAAACGCTATCCGCTTTTAACCACTTTTCAGGTGCTTGAATTATTTTTAATGGTACTTAGAACAATACGATGTAGCCTATAACCAGCACAAATAATATTTCATCGCAGGTAACAGTTTCCCTAGGTATGTTAGTACTTTTCACAAATCTTTTTCACATTCAACTGGTTCACCAACAACGCTTGAACTAAAAAAGAGTCTTGCACATCTGGAGTTTTGCGAACCGGGCAACAAACACTGTAGTACTAGTAGCATTCTTCTACTGTGGTATTCTTTATAGAATTTATCCAACTTGATTTGTTTGAAGCAGTTTTTCTAAGATGGGAGGTAGTTGTAAGTTGAATATCTGCGAAACAAAAAAAATTGAACTAGGCATCACAGAAAAGCGCATTAAAATGCCGTTGTCCTACGAGACCTTACACAATACAATCATTATTTACTTCTCAGATGGACTACATAAATTTTTCAGTGTACGCTTGTATAAGTTTTCAGATGCAAGTTATTTTCCATAAATCACTCCGCAAGAATTGGTAACTATTCAATAAGTCTAATGAATAATTCCTAAAACCTGAGTGGAACAATCGCGTATTGTGTGCAATGGACTCCAACCACCTTGCCCTCATCAATGACAAATGGTAATTATGAAATCGCCTTCCCAGGCTGAGGTTGTGCGCCAAATGTTAGGAATTCCTACTCCCTTACTTGCAGACCAACTTAAACCTGTGCTTACACTAACTCTTATTACAAAAAATCAAAGAGTATATAACTAGATGAAATCTTACCCCTCCAACTTCACGAAACCTGTACTGAACATAGATTTCATGTCTAAATGATCAATCTTATTCTGGCTCATGACGCTATCCATCCACTGCTTCAGTGTGTTTGATGTGCAGTACTGTTTTGAATCATCAAGGTTTACTTTTTGCAATCAAGATGAAAATTCTGATAACATAAATTTGTTCCGAAGAACCGTCAGCGACTCAAAAATCAGTCAGTGCACATCGTGAATATCCCTGGGTTCGAATTATACTAGGCTATTCTATAAATATTGCAAGCTGAGCCTTTGAGCTTACTGTTCTCCCAACTCCCCTGGAATAGAAGGTTAAAAATTTGGGGCTCCAACGCAATCCAAGGGTTTTGAAACCTCCACAAAAATAGTTACCAAATGTAAACAGTAATCCAAACTGAAGGATTTAGAATGTCGTAACCGTGACTCTAGGCGATTATCGGCGCGATAATTTCGCTCTCTTCAGACTGGTCCCTAACGATAACTGAATGAAACGTACTGTATACAGTGACTGATTACCCCAAGTGAAGAAGTAAATGTTGCGATCTTTCTTGTATCGTTGGATTGTTGTACGCGCCAACATGGTATTTGTTTGTGCGGATTTCGTAGATCGACCGACATTTGGAACCTTCGGGGCTGTCCTGCTCCTAAGCATTCTTAGTGAAAATTCTCAGTGAAAATATTAAAGTAGTCGCCCTAGTTGTATTCATGATCGAAGTGAGTGCAAAAGTATCAGTTCAAAATGGAATCACAATAAGCAATGAAAAATACGGCATTCCAAATTTCTCGAAGTAAATCGAGCTGTCATGTTAGCTTCAGGGAGGAAAATACGAGATATTGTGAACAGGAAAAGAACGACAGACAACAATCGTTGGTGCGCGGTAAGGAGGCGAGGTCTGTGAAATGTTTAGGCGAGAATAAATCATACTCACCGCATAGTAGAACAGTGAAGGAAATCAGCAGCTGCTCTGCAACCCACCGTTTCATCACGTTTCGGTCTGATAAGTGAA